GTACTCATTATAATTATTTAATGCATGGAATACCGGAATGTAACAATGATATAAATTTTTTTATAAATGAGTGTTAAAAGTTACTCATATAAATGATTGATAATGGGTTGTCGAAACTATCTATGAGGGAAAGTGTACACCAATATGCACAGTGTGCAGAGAGAAAATTTTAATACAAAATAAAACCAACCATCATACTGAACAAAATAAATAAGTGCTCTTCAGGCAATAGATATTATTCTGATCTCTTCATTGAAATTCAACCATAACATATATGTTCGACTGTTTAGGACAAACCATTATCAAAAATATTATGGTGAAATTTCAATGAAAGAGAATCAATAATATCTATTGCATGAAGAGGACTATTTATTTATTTTGTCAGTAAATGTGGATTTATTTGTATTAATAATCTTTCATAATCTGCACACTGTCATATTGTGTACACTTTCCTATAGATAGTTTCGGACCAACCCCGTACTCAATAATTTATATGGAGGAACTTTTAACATCAATCTAATAAAAAAATTTTAAATTCATTGTAATTAGTAGTTCCATGAAGCATTAAAAATAATTATAATGAGTACAAATAAAGTTCTTCGATTTTTTAAGTCCCTCTCTCTGGTTAAATGCCTACTTCAGATCAATATTGCATAGTTTTTGAACACATCTATTTACGAAACTCAATCAGTTTGCTTTTGATATGCATGGGTTCAATATTTTGTTCTTAGCGGAGAATTATCCTTCAATTTTAAAAATTTTCTTATTCTTATTTACTTATTTTATATTTAATATTTAATTTTAATTAAAAATATTTATTGAAAATTATGTAAAGCACTAAAATACAAATTTGTTGGAACTATTATGACCAACTACATGTTAGCGATTGAATTCCTTTAACAAACTTATACTCGTAAGTTCTAGATTTTTTAACAAGCCTAGATTATATAGTTAATCTCTTAGTTTGACGCACGATTGATCTTTTATGTCGGGGTGCATTCATAGCCTATTATTTAATAGTAATAATCTCTCAGTTTAGAATGTTAAAGCTTGAGTTTAGTTATTAATTTATAGATGTTGTAAATCACTGAAGTACTAGATGATTCGATGAGAAAGTGATTTTAACTTAGACTTCTTTGACAATTTTTGTACAACATTTTGAAATTTTTTTTACGTTCGTTGATTTTCGGCAGTTAACATGATCAACAAAATTTTTTTTATTTATAATTGTATGATGGATTATTGTAGATTATTTTTCACTATTTCCTGACTCAAGTAACTAGTTATCCCAAATGGTCCTATTGCAAAGCTTCATTCGATTAATAAAATAGACTAGCTAGTACATACAAATCTGCTCTACATTGTTTACGCCCTCCACCCGACTCCCTAACATCTGAAGGTAGCGGAACCTTATCCACATTACCCTTTTAACCTTCAGTGTAATAGACAGTCGGACTAGTTGCAGGCCATTTGGTCTTTGACTGTTTGCGAGAAACATGAAAGTACCACTTAGATTATAAGTACATCGTCATAACCAGTACACTACAAAACAATTGCATACGAGTATATATTAAGACAGCCATAGAACGTGTAATTTAACCAAATTATAGAACGCCTGATCAAACAGAGTAACGTGTTCACAAATTTGAATATAAATGTTTCATTGTCCGCAGCTCTAACTAAAAGATAAACCATATACCACGACAAGCTACCTACTCTTTGGAGTTTTTCTCTTGGCATTGAGTTTTTGTTATTAATTTTAAAAAAAGTTATATTTTCATATATTATTTTCAGTTTCATATCTTTGATATAAAAGTGTTTATTAATGCGTTGTTTCCTCATACACTTGAAAAAAATTAATAATTACTTTGATTGTTACCTTTTGAGCAATCAGGAAAAAATAAGATGAAGCTTGAAATTGGATCAACGAAAGTTTCGTGCAATCTTGGCTCGTAATCATTGCTTCCAAATTAAGAGGTTTAAAGTTCTAAGGCCGGATCTTGTATTCTAACAATTATATATATTTATGTTCACTTATCTATTGTTGTTGTATTCCATGACTAGTCAAAAAGCATTCTATTAGTGAAGTAGTTTGTTTCCGTTAAAATTGACTTTAAAAAAAATTTAATAATAAGTTATAAAGGAAATCGAAAAAAATTGATTATTAAATAAATGATTTTATTCTTTTTTCATTTTTGGTTAATGACTATATAATTATTGCAGTTAGTTATTTTATTTATTTTTAACTTTTTAAAACATGCGAATTCACTGTTCACTGCCTTCATTGAACTACTAATTACAATGAATTCAAAATTTTTTGCCACAAAATCTTGGAATTGTAAAAATTTGGCAGAAAATGAATAAAATCACTACAATTTTTATAACATTTTTTGTTTTAAATTTTTCACTTCAAAATGTGACGACCAAAAAGGTAAGGATTACGAGAAAATTCTTTCTCATATTATTCACATACTTTTCAAATTTTCAGAGAGACATGGGTATAAGCTTAATCAATTCTGTAGTAGACTTCAATCCCATCTACATAGAAAATCATACAGTCAATATCAATGCTGATCATGTATCAGTTGACGTACTTCTGCACATTGCACAGGACTTTAAAAGTGATCCTTGGACAATAATTGGCATATATTTCAAGATGTCGAAAAACGAGCATTATCGTCCAATTTTTCATTATGATGTTAATGTTTGTGAAATTTTGGGTAGAAGTGGAAACAACAAAATTGGCATGGCACATATTTGGTTAAATTCTTTCTTTAAATTTGGCACTTTACCAAAAAGTTGTCCCATAAAAAAGGTATCACATCTAAAATTTAAATATTTATATTTATATCACTTTTTGAAATTTAGGGTATATATCACTGGAATGGTATTCGCACCGATCACATGACAATCCCTACCATTCTGGTAAATGGAACTTATAAGCTGCTTATAACCACCTATTTTCGTAAAGAAAGAGTTAAAAGAATCACAAAGGAACCCGTAGCTAACATAACAATTTTAATTGAAGTCAATAAGTAAATTCAAGCAAATAATCGCAGTTATTTGAAAGTGCTTTAAACTGTTGAAAATTTTAATACTAGATATGCAATAATACCAAAGCCCTCCAAAAAAATTCGTGATCTAAAAAAACAATTAAATAATAATTTAATCAAATCAAAATTTAAAAGCGTATGTAGAGCGATATTACAATGATTGAATACTTTATCTTAATAATAATCTAGTATGTGATCAATATTAATAAAATGAAATATTAAATGCTAAAATATATAAGTTTAAATTGTCTTAAATTAAACAAGTAACATCCAGGACCAAACTTATAAGTTACAAGTAGTTAACTGGTGGGGTTAGAACAAATTCTATGCTAGAGCATTTAGGTTATCAGCTAAACGTATAAAATATATATAGGAGTGGATTTAAATTTCTTTCTTCACCAACAGTATATTTAGATTTTTATAGGTAACAGAATTTCGAACATCAATATAGTCTAAATAATACTCTTACAGCGCAGCACGTTTAAGTCAAGAGAAAACTTTGAATATCGTTTAAAAATCCAAAATAGACGCCTAACTGTTAGCTTGATATGCTAACATTTTGCTTCAATATGCTTTTTTCAGTTAGTCAGCTATCTAAGTAGATGTCTATGTATTTTACTCCGAAACATTGTGTCAATATTAACCATTAATAACTAGTAAAGACAATGTTTCCCTTTTCTGTTTGACTTAAACGCATTTAGCTTTAATTACCAACAGTTTAAACAGGTTTGAATATGATATATGTGCCCCTGCAATCACATCGATGCCACTTTATTCTTTGAATGGGAAGTCAAAACTGACGTAATATCAGCAGATATTGATTTACCTATGGCAACACTTTTATCGCAAATGGTTCTTTAGAGGTCATCAAAATGAATAGCTTGTCATTAGTTTTTTATTTCTAGCTAAATGTAATGTATTAACAGCATATTTGTAAGAATAATTATGGGTCAATAGCTTCTTGATATGTTTCTATAATAACTTATGAGTTTGTCAAAAATTTAACGAACTCAGAAATTTAACAGACTCAGAAAAAAGTTTTCTATTACATTATTTAGAGCCATGTATTCTTTTATAAACCATCGGTAGTTCATATAACAGTTAAACAATGTTAAACGAATGATCACTGAATCATATGATTAACTTTCAATTTTACCTAGTCAAGATAAAAGTAGGTAAAATAAGATAGAGACATATAGCTATACCCAAAACCTGACGCATAAGCAAATACTACTATATAATATGAGACTCATATTTTAGGCATAATTCTTATTAATTTTTATTAAAATCGAGTCATTATTATACTCTTGCTTTCTAGTTTCTTGATACTCAGTAAACATAGCATGCTGGCTTAGAATTTGATAGTAAAAACCGAAGGTAAATGGAGGGATTTCAAAATAGGTTGGAGAAGGATAGCCCTGTATCCAGTGTATATACATAAGTTCACCGAATATAAGTCTTTACTTTATTTAAAGTTTGTTATATTCATCGTATTGATAATGCCGTTCATGGTATAATTGTTAATTGGGGTCCAGAAAATAATTTTGTTGTAAAATGATTTAACTGATTGGTTTTATATCTAGCACAATATGCTTTTTTTGGATCTAATCTCATTAATATTTCTATTAGTATTAATATTTATTAATTAATAAATATTATTTAAAAATAAGAATTAATATTTGGATTTTAATCTAGGAATTTGAAAGTCATTTTGCTTTCAATTGTCCCGAGTGCGTTCTGTTTGAACCATAAATTTCGAGAATAACTTAATAGAACCACTCTTAAAACATTGAAAATACATATTGAAGCTGAAGTTTGCCATGATCTACTAAGCTAGGAGGAAAAATTTTTTTTAAAACAACTTTTTTATGGCAACAAAGTTATGAAATCCTTAAGTTCTTATTTCTCCTCTTCTGGTTAAAATATATTTTCACATTAAAAATTTAAACAATATTAAATTCGAATCTGATGTTTATTTCATATATATCTTATTTTCATTTATTATATAATGTTAATATGAACATCACAATCAACCACCATTACTTCATTTTTGCTTTTATATATTCCATAATATCCATATCCTCTTATGCGATATTCGCCAGTGTGCAAAAAACTTGGCAATAGTTTTGGGTCCCAATTCCAGCCTTTGAGATAGTAATGACCCTCAGTTACGGGACAATTACTTAAAAAGTTACCATAACGTTTTAAACTATTATACCACTTTTTGAGCAGAGACACCTTGAGGGATGCAACCATGGTACAGACGTCAATATGATAGCTGAAGAGCTGTTGATACTTCCTCGTGTTAGACATTCGCAACTGAAACTCAAAATAGGCTCTAAAACCACTCTTCAGTGGTTGTATTATGTACATATCGACATTCATTGTGTTGTTGGTCGTGTGCAGTGTAAAGTTCGAGAAATAGTCTGGATTAAAAGATGCGCCAGCGGAATGAAATTCAACAAAACGTAACTACAAATATATTTCTTGCATTAATTTTCAAATCATTTCATTTTATATACAAATTTATATGAATACTTACTGCCTGAATAGCATATAATTTGTTTTGAAGATATAGAAAAATAAATAATTTGTAAATATTTGAAAAAAGATTCATTTTAATCTGAACAAAATTTAATATATATGAATAAGCAAACCAGACCCGAAATCAATTTAAAACAAAAAAAATAAGAATTGATGTTTATTTGTTCTTTTTTAATAAACTAACATTAGCAATTAGAAAGCTTTAACTGGGAAAATATTTGCTACTTAACATTCACATCAATCTGAAGCAAGTAATTTTGTGCCCAATTATAGTTTTCCCTGTCATATGAAGAACAGTTTCAAGCATCCTATAAATTTTCCTTGTAAAAATCTCAGATTTGAATTAAAAGTTGAAAACGTTTATCTTCCTATTATTTACGTCAGCGGTCAAATAAAATGTTAAATATTTTTCCTAAGACAGACATTGTTTTTGGCATTATTACTAATTCAAAAAACGATACTTCAACGATATTTCAATAATTCAAAACTTTTTTTGAAACAAATTGCAATTAAAAACTCATTTTTAATGTGATAAAATGTTTAATTGTATTTTAAACTAACAAAGCAATATAAATAATTTGCTTGTTCTTGATTCATAACAATTAACATAACAATTTTCATAATTGCAGATATAGCCCCAATATAATCAACATTTCATCACATCAAACTAACAAGAATAGACTTTTTCAACCAGGCCAAGTATTTCCAGATTATATCATTCTATCAGATACCATCGTTCAAATAACAATATGCGGTCAACTAATATTTTTTTTCTAGGAATTACTTTTGCTTAATAAAGTACTTAAAGCTCATAAAATATTTTTTATTTGTAAGCAGCATAGAAATTCATTTCAAAAGCAGCATAGAAATTCATTTCAAAAAATTAAAAGTTTTAAAATGGTAAATTTAGATAGCTAATCTATACTTTTTCCAACATCATTATTGGAATACATTAATTGCACTAATGCCTATTAAACATATTAACACATTAAAAATCAAAATAATACTTCAATAATAGAATATTCAATAGAACTAATGGGAATTATTATGCTCTCTCTAAAGGGATTCCCAAAGTGTATAAGCTAAAACAATTTAATATTACTATTTTTCTTGTATTTATTATTAAAATCAGTCTCCTGAATTAAGTTGACTAATATAGCAATAATATAAAATTATATGTGAAGGCAAAACTATATATTAAATACACTACATGTACATGTATAAAGTACATTTACCTATGCAACGAGTTACAAATCTTTCCATATGTCTTTTGGAGGCTTTTCTTTATTTTTTCGAATGATGAAATTTAG